CAAGAAGCAAACCTTACTGAGATATTAGTTCAGTTTTGGACATACTAAGTTTGACGTGTTCAATACTAAATGGACGTTCCAGGAAGCGATCAGAAGTACAGACCTAGAGTTAGGAAGCGTATCCTCAGAAGTTCACCACTCCCTCTTTGTACTAAAGTGGGATTAATCACATCCTATTACATAACTATTTTTCTCCACAACCCTTCTGTACTGCTAGGCTATTTTGAAGCATTTAGGTCCTCCCATATAAAACCTCAATAAATGCTGATTTTAAAAAATGCAAAACATGCAGAACTGCATAATTAAAAGAGTGATTTTATTATATACAAAGAAACTGATTTTTAAAAATTTTCCACTCTGTGAATTTTAAATAAGGATGAAATTTTCATTTTTTTAATTTGGTCACATGAGAATTACCAAATACTACCAAGCAGTGAAAGCTGGCTTCATCACCAGGCCTACAAACCCGAAAAAGTAAAACATAACAAGGCAAGAAATACATAAATGAGTAAAACATGGAAGAGAGAGCCCAATGAAGACCTCTTGAAGTACATTTAACTTAATTAAAATTCTTAAGTTTGTTAAAATATCTGCAATGTAGATTGAAAAGATTTCACTTTCTAATTTACAGGCTACTTAAGTTCAATAACTTAAAACGGAAAGCTTCTGGACCCTTCCAGCACGTTATTCAAAGAGCTGTGATAAGCGCATATAGCAAATGTGCTCAGTTACAAGCACTAGGTAAGGGAAAGCTGCTGTCATCCCCAATCCACCGGCAATCATTTGACTGCTAATCCTTTAGTTTAAAATTTGTAGAAGCACTTCCTAAAGAACGCTTCACTGGTAGTATTTACCACCCAAACTTAAAATATGGTCAATTCTATCAAGGCTCCAACAGTAAAAGAGACTGGCCGCCAGTTCTACATTTAATACCACATCATGACAATTTCCTTTGTGCCTGACAACTAGAGACCTTTCAGTGAAACCATTCCCTGGAAATGACACTACAATATTGTTGCTTATTTAGAGAGCAGGGAGCCAAGAGAAAATCAGCTCATTAGTGATGAATGGGTGGGGAAAAAAGCTGCAGTAGAGGATTAAAAAACAGCAACACAATACAAACAGGCTTAGAAGAACTATAAAACTGCAGCAAAAAAAAGAGTAGGGATTCAGAGAATGAAATTCCTACAACACAAAATAAACAGAGACTTAAGTCTGCACTTTCTCATTTGAAATCACATAAACAAGGATCAAATGTATATTGATTCTAATTTTATATAACCAAAAGCCTAAAAACCTTACATCAATAGAAAATATTGGCAAATTAAAAAGGATTCCCCAATTTGGCCCTATTTTCTTGTTCTATGAATTAATTCATAAGGGGAAAAAATAACTTCAGATTATAATGATGAATGTAACCATTAGGAGTGGCGTCTCTATGAGGTCTAAAATAGAAGAAAAATGTACATTTCTTCCAAAGCCATAGCCAACAATAACTTTTGCATTCTGAATCCAACTTAAGCACATTAGTTGGGAAGATGTTTGCAAAAGTATTTAATAAGAAAAGTGCTGAATTTAGCTTTTATTTTTTTCCCAGTTTTCTTAAGTGGCCTGCTGTCTATCAAACGCACTAAGTAGAACCTCTCCTAAGTATAAATGACAAAAGGAAATACAGCTGTCTTCCTATAGAGAGCAGTTTCTACATCAGGGATCATCAAACTTTTTCTATAAAAGGCCATACAGTATGTATTTTCAGCTTTACAGGCCATATGGTCTCTGTCACAAATACTCAATTCTGCCACATAGCATGAAAGCAGCAATAGATAACAGATAAATAATGAGTGCGGCTGTGGTCCAATAAAACCTTATTTTCAAAAACAGGCAGCCAGTCCATGTTTTATACCTACCAACAAATATATTGTTTTAATAAATACTACCAATTTGAAATACGATGTCTGGGATTTGCTTTAAAATATTTCATAAAAAAGAAAGTTGGAGGGGCCGGCCCAGTGGCGCAAGCGGTTGGGTGCGCGCGCTCCGCTGCGGAGGCCCGGGGTTCGCTGGTTCGGATCCCGGGCGCGCACCGACGCACTGCTTTGGCAA